TCAATACTCGTACTCTTGCTGATACCATAAACAAAGGAGGATCCGAAACTTGCGGGGTGGGTTGTTGGTGACGGCGTTCTAATGCAAATGCTACTGTCTGGCTAATAATTCTGCAAGAGGAGTTTGGTTTGAGATACGTGAAGCTACTCATAATTCTGGAGTCTTATCTACCTAGCAAATACGGGCTACCCTGAAGGCCTCTAGCCCAAGTTCTTCACTTACTGCTCTGACGCACATCGCAAGTGTAAACTAGACCAAGCTGGACTGTGTGACCTCAAATTCTCATTAGCATATGCTTGCGACAGACCACAGGCAGCCATGGAAAATTCAGAGCAGCTGATGTATGTTGTTCGGTAGTTCTAGATCTGCTACCGGCTACAACAATCAGTTGCTCGTAAATCCTGACGGGTTTGCATCTTTGTGAGCCACACTAAACGAGTAAACTAATGTAACCTTCCCTTACCGTTGGATACAATTTGTGGCGCGCATATTCAATACTAATCTAGTTCATGGTTCAAAAGTTGAATGTTACGTTCCAAAGCTAGGTTTTGCAAGAAGTGTGCCATCTGAGCCTCAACCTCCAATGAACCAGATACCGATATTGAGTTTGTGTGACACCTAATCATTAACCAAGCAAGTGCAAGTGAAGCTGAAGGCGCCTAGTAATGACCAATAGAGTACACCATCTTATCACCCAGCATGTTTGCGAAGCTAGTATGACCCTCATTGACCAACTCTGGCCTAATGGGCAGTTTTAAAGTTAGCACTGTTGCTACGCCAGCCGAATCGACGGCCAGCTCAAACACAGTTCACTCATGACACTGTAGGATATCTCCACTGATGGTTCAGAAGTACTGTATATGGATGTGCAAATCAAAGCATTATATTAACCTGATGCGAGCTCCTTGAGATTTGAAAGGTAGTAACTGCACTTTTAGTCCTGTATATGCTATCCAAAAATAATGATTTCGCCTTGCATCTGGCCTCAGCAATAGGTCGTATCGTGATCCTCACCACGGATATCACCGGTTACCAAACGGTGAAAATGAATGTGGATCAGTACTAACCAAGGAATCAATGTTTGTAACCACACGTTAACGCGTTCGCATCGCGATCCGTTTTGCACAGATCAAGCTATCGCACTGGCAATAGTGAGGCAACGCTTAATGCCAAGTGGATACATTTGCTCTGCCTATTTTATGGGTACCTTAAATGGGTTTGTATCGCAGTTTACTCAATTATTTAAAAATCGGAACAAGTACTCCCTCAAGTAAGGAAACTTAGAAAGGCTCGAGGTGATATCATTTCACCTTGCTGTCAAGGAAATATCATAGAACATGCGCTATTACCATGGTGCAATCAGTATCATGTGCGTTGCAAATATGTACATGGAAGATTTTGATGCGAAGGCGCTACGAAACAATTGCAGTGCATCCACAGTAGTGTGGCCCTAGGTAGACGGTATTAGCGCAGTTATGAAAGAGCTAGTACTGGCATTTTTGGCTGACCTAGATTCCATTGATCAGGCAACGGAAGTACGTCGCGGAACTAGAATCGCATTGAGGTACTGCCGTTTCTTAATTGCCTGGACAATATAAACTGAAGAATACTGAAACCAAAAGTGCATTTCCAGCCAACCGACATGGGTAAGGTATTCAGTAATCGTTCATGGCACTCAATGTACGCTACCGCGTGGACCGCTGCATTATTGTTTAAGAGAATGAGCGCTCTGTCTACAAAGGCGGCAAATAGAAAACCCACCGAAAGATAGGCAATGAGAAATTAACTGGAGTGTCGTTTTGAAGTACCCGTTGTGTGTTTGGATAGCGAGGCGCAATGTTAATGTGGAACTTGATTTGCATTGAAGCGAACATTGCCCAGTTCGATCACAAGGACCGCAGCTGAAGTGTATAGAAATTGGGTGCAGTGTTATCGGGAGAGCAGCATACACTTTCTATACAATAAGAAACCTATGTGTAAGTAACGAATTATCCGAAGTAATTGCTGAGCCAATAAGTACGAAAGAACATTAATGATTATCCAATAGCTACCAAGGACTGTGAGGCGACACCAAGGATTTTGAGGCGATTCAGTGGTAAAGAATAAGGAAAACATCCGGAAAGTTTCCCAAGGGAGCCAGCCGAAAATGTTAAAAGGATCACTACGTTTAAGTAGAATGAAAAACTCTGCTCATGAAAATCCGGCACAAACGCTGCGTAAATGTGCATGCAGGTTAAGTTGCGTGAGCTGCACTCGAAAACTTTAGAGTATCAATTGTTCATTTGTTCTCCGAGCTAGGCGGTTTTCTCGCAAACGTTTCACCACCATGCGAGGTGGCATCCTCAGTGCAGTGATATATAGCGTACAAACTTACTAAGCTTGTACGCTATATATCACTGCACTGAGGATGCCACCTCGCATGGTGGTGAAACGTTTGCGAGAAAACCGCCTAGCTCGGACAACAAATGAACAATTGATTCATCAACCCGAGCTACCAGTATTTCGAAACATTTTAAACTTTAGAGTATAGGCGACGCATTTAACGGCCATTGTAGAACGAGTTTGAATACAGAGCTCTGACTAGAAACTCGGCAGCGGCGGTGAATGCACTGCGCAAGTGGTATGTAGAAAAAGTCAAGTGTTATGATCATCAGCTCTGGATTGCGGTCAAAGCCCCGATAGAGCGAAACGATCATCTGAGGCGTTTCGGATTTTGGCTAACTGTTGCGCCTTGTAATCCAATTGCGATGGACCAAATAATAGTATGCCTAAATCTATCTACTCACGAGTAGTTAAACACTGTGTTTAATTATTGAGTTAGTCGAAAGCTCAACGGTATCGTGAACGTAATAGTTGGCATATCGGGTGTTTTGTTAATGTGGTCCGGAGCTAGGAGCGGCTGCACTCAGGTGCTGACGCTGAATTGCTAACTGTCCAATGACGCAAATTGCTTTGCCGGCAGGGGGTGAGATGGGACACAGACGCCACATGTCTGCTTACGATCGCAGAGCACACCGAGCTGTTCAGTTGTGGGAAGTGAACATTAGGCAGACACCACAGCCGCGATGAATGCGGCATGGCTCGACCGCAGGACAAGACGTAGGGAGCGCTCGCCGTTCAGCTGTGAGAACTGGACGTGAGCCGGAGACCACATAGCCGCATTGAACGTGTCATGCTTCGATCGAGTGGTAGTCGGCATTCACGCAGGTGAAAAGAAAGCGAAAGGGTTTACTGCGAAGTGGCTAGTGGGGCGGTGTCCTAGCAACTGAGAAAAACAGCCTGGCCGTATGTGATGACCGGTCGATGGGCGCCGTATTGCTATCACCACAAAAGCTGGTATCGCCTCATGACTGATTTGCAACAAACCCGTAAGCATTTAACAGGCTGCTTTCGCTGCTGAAGGCAACCCTACTGCCAGGAACATATTGTAAGGTTACAGTGTTGTTTGCTTTACCATTTCGAGCGCGTGTGTGTTACAGCTGGAAAGTCACCCTTCATGAGTGCATAAAAACCATTTCTTGACTTGACGACGTGATCATGCGCTTAGACTTCAGTCTGCCCCGACCCACTGGTGGCACCATTAGACAGCAGAGCAATTTAGTCATGAATGTAACCATGGCCCTCATAAGCAAACAATTGGTAGTTGTACAAATTGATCAGGCCTTCGATGGTGTTTCTCGTGTACAATGGAGAATATACATGTATTCATTTCCTTACATATATTTAGATGAAATGTATCCCATGTCGGTACATATCAACGAATTAGATGTACGAAGTGCCCACGATCGTTTTGGCTACAGGCGCATTCGCCGAATGGTGTTGACGAGCACCTTCTGCAATGTCTCCAACAATATCTGCCTATATTCGTTCACAATGTGCTCTTTCGGTTCAGCCAGGCTGCTGAATTTCGTTCTACTAACTCTGCGCTTCAAGTATTCCAATAGGAAAAAATCCCTGGGATTCAAATCTGGTGATCGCGCAAGCCATTCTATCGGTCTTCCGGGACCGATCCAACGTCCACCGAATGTCTCGTTCAGGTAGGCACGAACCGATTGCGTCGAACGTGCAGGCGCTCCATCGTGCTGCAACCAAACGTGATTCCTTAACCCTTTCTACTATAGCTGCGGAATGACGCTGCTCTGCAACATTTTCATTCACGAGGATGCTAATAAATGTCAGACATTGGTACTGTTAACCGACAACCTACTGGACACACTACTGGAAAAGAAAAAGAATCCAATGATTTTTCGACCAGTCAACCCAGCGCAGGCGATGAGTTTCGCGCTATGTTACCCACGTGAAGCGCTACATTGCCATGGGTTGCTCGTTACCCAAACATGTTTCGCATCTTCGCCATGCAGATGGAAGACCGCCTCGTCGGTGAACAAAATGGAATGCATGTCTAGACTGTTTAAAAACAAGTCGAATCCCAGGTGCTTCTGTAAATCACTGAACGACTTAGGATAGTGCCCTGCCATCTACATGTAATCGCTATCTGAATGGTACTATGTTGTCGCTCTAGCTCATAATTTTATGTTGCCTCAGTAGCTGTGAAATGCCTTATTTTCAAACGTTAAACGCTGTCCATTAAATATAAACGGTATCCATACCTGTTCTAAAGCATCTTCCGAGCTGCAAAATCACCGGAGGAGGAATCGGAGGATTCCATGACACTGGCGGCTGATATACAGGTGAAGTCACAAAACAGTGTACGTATTTTTAATCTTTTAGTTCCACTTGTGTAGGCATGTAACCTCCTTGAATATCCAGTCGTAACATGACGAGAACACGCTCGTTACCAACCTTGTCTAAGCTGACCGTAATGAGTGACTGCAAGTGGTCAACCCAATTACTCACCTCGTTATGTGTAAAGCTAAGTAAGTTTTGACCCGATTGGTGGGTTATTTTAAACCATGTTTTTATGTACACGTTACAAACGTCACGCTAACATAGCACTCGATAGATTAATATCTATACTGCAACTAAAGGAGTTGAAAGTTGGATGGGACGAATCGATTGTATTGCAGTACACAAATGGCTTGGGTTCAATAGACAAGAGAATAAAAAGAGTATATATTTGACAGAATTTCCGAGTGTATAAAAAGTTTGGGAGAAAAAGACCTAGCATCACTCGTCTTATTTGGCAGTCTTCAAAAAGTAATGGAAGTGATGATTCTTAACACAAGGGGCGAGCAACTAAGAACGATGAAAAGGCGCCAATCGCTAATGTTGTAGCTATTTTTAGTTAATGTGTTATGCGCAGGGGGCTGTCGAAAAGTGGTTAGTCGAAAAAGAAACTGAATGAGCTCCCCTCAATAGATTCGTCTAAAGTACTGAAGCATTCTTTACCAGGACTGACGAAGTTTCTAGTCGATATAAAGAAAACACATTGGATATTGCTATGGAAAGATAAATACACTCTACAATAAATCAAGTTCTCGAGTCTTACTCTGGAGACCCGGAACTCGAAGATGTCGTGTGGCTATCTGCCTGGAATTCTGATGTAGCATAAGGTGGACGGCTAAGTTCGCTTTTTCGCATACTGTAGCTGATATGCTCAGTTTCTAAGTGTTCTGTGTTGCGAATTGGAAACTGGCTGGTGCTTTTGTTAAAGAAGGATGAGGACATGGAGGCGGAATAACGCCTATGTACCGCAGGTTCTTCAGTGGTCAACCCCGTAGTACACATCCCATTGGATCGTGACTGCTGCCAGCGGGTAAAACTTTGGTCAGAGCTTTCGGAGAAATCATCAGATTCAACAACATTCGTGTAGGCTACCAAATTAATCTGTCTGGATAATAGGACTGCGCCTGGTTCTGATTGTTGCATCGAATAAGTTACAATCCATCTTTGAGGATCACATTCTCGAACAAGTCGTATCCAACCAGAGTGTCTAGCCGTCAGGAAAGAGAACCATTTTGTGGGGACAACATTTAATGCTTGCCGAGAATCGATCGCGTCCAGAAGATGTAACGATGGCCTACCTGGCCAATCAGCTGCAATATCACCTGTCTCACCGTTGAATAATCCAAGCCGCGTAGCTTCTGTTGTTGTCATCCAGAGGACATCCTCTCCACCTGGACAGATATGTGTAACCTGGTACACGCGACAAGTGGCAGGTTCTTCTTCCTCGCTGGAACTTGAATCACTAGAAGAGTCCACAGCCACCACTTGGATCATTTGCCTGCCGACAGCCTCCTCGATGGTTAACCATGTATTGGTCATTGTATCCAAGAATCGTATCTCGTCACCGCATACTTCTAGTACGCCTTCAAAGACAGCAGCCTCTGGAAGCAACATATCTCCTTTGGCAGTGTCAATGACACTGATGATCTTGGCTTTTCGCCAACCGAAGTAAATTCTCTCTATCAGCAGTGTAACCGACATACCTTCGTCCATCACCGCTGCGGTGTCTGCGTGAGCAGTTGCTAAGCGAATTCGACCCATTCGGTACGCTGTTTCTAGGGGAATTGAATCTCCAGTGGACGGGTCTACGTACTCATTCTGATCGCCCAGCCTTATCCAACCTCGCCTGATCGCTAATCCAACCGGGGCGAAGAAATTCGTGGTGGGACTCTGAACCTCACGAATACTGTTCCACATCCCTTCTGGTTGTCTCATATTTGTCCGAAGCAATTCATACTGACAGGTTCGTTGACGTAACTGGACAATTATGGCCGGCCTTAGAAAGAAAAAAGGAAGGAAGCATTAATAAGTGTCCTACTCCACATCCTATAGGCTGAGCACAATTAAGACCTACTCATACAATGTTGTACGGAAAAGCAGGAAAGCAAGCAGTTTAGTTAGTGTTGGGGTCGGAACAATCTCAGAACACTAATAATGTGGAAATATCACGAAAAGCGTGTAACTGGCTGCTTAAGTGGAGAAACGTAACTCAGAAACTGTCATCATTAAGATTGAACTAGTGTAGGCGAAGCATAGTCCTGAAATAAATAGTTAGTCTACTCTGTTTGCAACAATGCCAGTTGTGTTCAATGCGAATTAAGTCTAAATAAGCATTACGACCACACATGGGTTCATTTTCAGCGCCTACACTACCTCTACGGATGAACCGAAAGATTAGGTCAAGATATATATATATATATATATATATATATATATATCAACGAGTAGAAAATAAAATACACATCTGACTGACCCTCCAACAACCGCACGCGAAGTATGTTCTTAAATTTCGTTGAATCAACAAGCAAACGTGACGGATAAGCCAGTACTAAGATGGAATAAAATGTGGGAAAATAAAGAGCTGAACCTTGATCCGCAGAAAGGAGGAATTTCTATCAGGGCAATCTCAGTGGGTTCAGATGTCCGAACGGTCATTAGAGGCAGCGAACTCATACACCATACACTAGAATAATCAGTCTCGCATTCACTCTTGGAATGAGATGCATCGATGAAAAAACACGTGATGACACAAGCGTAAATAGACGATGGTGCAACTAGAACTGCTTAATAAAAGATAACTTGGGAAAGTGCATACAGGCTTTGAGCAATGCTAGAGACAGATAGCCGCATTTATCTTGCTGTCCGCTAACACACTCAGTTTCAACCCACCGTAAATACGCACCGATTTGTGCTTAAACATTTATACCTGTTGATGGAATACCATACTTTGGGTGACATCACGATTCGTGCAACCAGGTGTTCGATTATGCTCTCGCTACGTGAAATATTTGTCTCCCATTCACGTTTGCAGCAAGCGAATCGAAGATGTTGCTGTCCGCAGAACATGTTTCGCCGGGGGTATCAATGCGCATGTAGGTCATCTGAGGTCTTCTGAAGCTCGACTGGGCGTCAAGTATGGACTTAACTCTGACCGTACGGACAACGGTGAGCGTCTATTGCATATGTGCAGGGGGCACTGGATTTTTCTCATTAGCAACACTTTTAGACCCAATGCGCGCCAAAGTGCCACTTGGTGACCGCATACAGCTGACCAGCAACGGACCCAGATAGACCACGTTACCGTTAGTTCCAGGTGGCGTGGTGCTATCAAAGATTGTCGCCCGTTGCAAAATACTTGCGTTGACATTGACCATCTTGGGTGCACTGTCGTTTTTCCATGAGCTTTACCGGGAGGCGTGTCAAGCGCCCCCTAGATTCGTAACTGAGAAGCTATCACAGTCCCCGGTCAGGTAAGCCTACCAGGATGCCCTGCGTACCGAACATTCTTCCTCTTGCCATAATGACATTGAGCTTCAGGGGAATAGGATCTCGGCCGCCACGTACGATGAGGGACCCTCTGCTTGCGGCACTATCAATAGGCACCACACAAGCCAATAGATATCCGAGAAGTCGGTGAACCTGTTGGAAGATAACTTCAGACTGTCGCTGAGCATAATGTGACCAGACGGATAGTAGCCCCGAAATAAAACGGGGACTATGTGCTGACAAAGAGACTTGGCGGACCAAAAGAGCCCGAGAAGTGAAGAAGGCAGGAGAAGCGGGCAATTATAACAAACACTCGAATGATCCGCAACACTGGTCCCAAGAAAGCAGGTGTCAATGAGACAAGCAGAGACAGCGCAGGTGTCCTGATCCACAATATGGAGCGTCGTATAGCTCGTTGGGCTGAGCACTTTCGAGAGCAGTTCAGTTTGCCTCCTGCTTTCGGACCTCTACCCACTCATCTAATGCAGGTTGGGCTACAGCCGTTTAGTTTAGAAGCTCCATCGGATGATTGGTTCCAAAACGCGATCGCACCACTTAATCGTGTTTATGCTGCTGGCCCGGAATCCATCGCATGCGCACTCTATAAGAATGGTGGTGAAATCTTATGAAAGGCATTGAACTCCCTGTTCGAACAAGTCTACAGGGAAGATACCATCCCAGCTAACTGGAGTGAATTGAGTATAGTGGCAATATACAAGATGGACAGTCGCATCGACTGTGCTAACCACAAAATTATTACTCTTAACGCAAGCAAATCGGAATTCATCAGTATCACCAGACGTCCAGCCACTCAAGCATACATTCTGGACGGCCAGTCGCTCCACCCTAACAGGTCTGTAAGACACATAGGAGTTCTCTCGCGACATGATATGAGATCATTAGAAAATACAGAGGAATTGTACCGAGTGGAACTTTGTATGCTTTGGGCATTAAGACGCAGTTTCTCCACATGGTCCGAATAAACCATCCCTCGCCTATTCGCCTCGCTCATTAGACTAATCCTAGAATACGGTGCTCCAGCTTACTATCCGATAACCCAGTGGGAAACTGAAAAACTTGAGGAAATACAGCATATCGTAACTAGAATGCTACCGAGTCTATGAAAGCTTCCGTATTTCACCTGCAGGAACCCTGTAACACCCGAGGACACCGTTACAAACTCATGGTCCCATGCATGAACAAAGTATCACAGCTATGTATAGAACGAAGAATCGTTAACTTATGGAATACATTACCAGAAGGATTAATAGAGGCATATTCTGTGAAGTATTTCAAACGACGATTATTTCGGAAACTAGTGCTTTTGTGAAACGATGCACACACAATGCCAAAAGAAGACATCGTATACCCAGAAATAATGACATCAATACGAATTCCTAACCGAGCAAGGATAAACGATTAAGTGACCAAACACTACTGCTGACGATTCGCAACTAAGTGTTTTGGTTTTTCATAATTCGATAGAGTTGTACAGAAAGCTTTCTACTTACTCTTAACTAGTCTTAGTCTCAGTCTATAATAACTAATGCATCAGAGCCTTAGAGCCTATGTACAAGAAAGATAATGTCCTTCCCGACAAATAGGAAGCAGAAACGAATGAAAATCAGATGTTCATTTTGGACAACACAAATCCAATTCAAGCTCGAAAAGCTAGAATGCACCCATAACCAAGTGAAGCCATTGGATCAAACTTGTCCGCAAAGACAAACTAAAAAACCAAAAGGGTTTAGCAAAGTAGTTCTGTACCAATCCTAGCCTACTCTATAGGTACGTTAAAAGGATTGCGAAGTACGGCGAGGCATCCTGTCTCTAAACATCGTCTGTGGGCAAGCAAAAACTACCCAAGAAGCAATTAACTCTCTTACACATCAACCCGGTTTTACTTTCCAGAACGGACCATTTGTTATCATTCGCACACATACCGCACCACCACCAGGATCTAGCCATATCTCTTACACTGCCGCAAATGTGTTGTAACGAAAGATGTCGTTAGGCAAATACAGTTCACCTGGTGCGGAGAACACAAACTCAAGTCATTGAAGGTAGCTACCACAAGCTTAGCCGTACCATCATCTCAGTATTTCTGGCATTGTATCGGCCAGAGACAGATTCCAAATATGTGGAAGAGTGAAATAGGCACACCATTTACTAGGGGTGAAACCGAAATGTGCCCGATAACTATCGCCGGGTTCCTCTTCTTCGGTGCCTGATAAAAGCATGCAATCCGTCGTTGCAGAAGCACTGATTGAATGTTTGGAAAGGTTCAATATAATCGTGCATAAGTAGCATGGTTCTCTCCATAACCACCCATAAACCACAGACCTGTTGCTAGTTCGTGCCAGCTAGACGGAATCCGTCGATGCTTGAGGAAGGAGTCGACGCCGAGTAGCTTGACTTCCAAGAAGGCGCTTTATTGCCTAATCACCACATTTTTTATACAATATTTAGCGCCATAAGATCGGTGACCCGATGTTGATGCGAGTTCGTAGTGCCCTATCTGATCCGATAGAGGTTCATTGCGGCGTCCCTCAAGGATCGGCATTGGGTCTATGGCTATTCCTAGTGTTCATAAACGACGATGCAGGAGCATTGGGATTAAATTTTCTACTCTTTGCGGATGATCTCAAGATATGGCGGAAAATGAAGAGAGTAGACGATCGCATAGCACTGTAAGGAGATCTCAATCACTTACGGGTGGTCGGCTCAGAATATGTTTGAGTTTAGCCCTATCAAGCGTAAAATAATGAGCAGTTGTCACCATAGCACTTAGGAATATCGCTTAGGAGAACAAGTTTTGTAGTGCACTTCTCACGATGGTGATCTGGGGGTGCTCGTGCATGACGATCTAGGATGCTCAAGGCAGGCTGAGAAAACAATGAAAAAGTTTACCAACAATGGGCTGACTGCAGAGGGCGTTTGGCCGGTTCGGTCCTACCTTATTTCACAAATGCTAAAAGTGTACGGGAGGTCGCATGTATATTACGCCATCCATGTCTGGCACCCTTCGCGAAACTTGACCCCAATGCTCTAGACAACCCACAACGGAGGGCGGCAGAAAATGTTGTGGGCCTGCTCCATCTCCCTTACCAGTTTAGAATAATGACTCTAGGAGCTTTCAGTGAACAATATCGTCTTCGTTGAGGTGAGCTCAAATTGGCGCATCACATGCCCAACCGATATTGTAATTTAGCCACATCCTACTGAGAGTCCAAAGTAGACATATAGTACAGCCGGTTAGAATGTCGCCTGTACTTCTCCACCCGTGTATCTTAGTCGTGGAATTTACTTTGCTTCCCGTCGTCTTCGTTCCTACGTTAACACAAGTAAAAATACGATTTTATGATGTAACCCAAGCAAGTGTGACACGGGCAACGTAACCAAACGATGTGCACATGTGAGAATCGGGGTGAGTCCACCGCAACGCGTTACTTTTGCTGATGCATAAATGTTTGGTTACTTTTTATACACGAAAATTGTAAGACGTCTGCTTTTATCTACGTGCTAAGTCCATTGTTCCATTGCTAGTTTCATATCAATTCACTTGTACGTGTGGTGCATAGCATCTTAGATATACGACTAGGTGCTTGTTCAACCGGATCCTTGAACACTGCGGTGCGTCACTGCGAATCGGTACGGCCAAACACACTAACAGTTACACTTTCGACAGGCAGTCAAAAGGAGTGAGCAAGTTCAGTTGAAGGTGTTCTCCAACCTTATCCATCCCAAAGACGATACCTAAACAAGCTCAAAAAGCAAGTAGCGGTCATTGCCTAAGCCATGGAAATCAAGGTTTGGAGACTAGAACTGTGCAAACAACGGAAGATGATAAAATCCTTGAGTTTTCCTTTGCTATCCAACGCTAATCGTCCAGCGTTGATCATGTGTGTTTGAGCATGCTGTTAAGCTTGATTCAGCGAATCATCGATTGCTATTTCAGAACCCTTAGCTAAGAAGCTGGACATAAGTATTGTTTATTCTGTGGTCATTCATCCTATCTAGACAGAACTCTCACAAGCTAATTCGCATCCTACTTTTAATTCATTACTGTAGATACCTGAATTACTTTATCGAAAAGATTATTCATTGCACAACTGTCAATCTCTGACTCCATGTGAATGAGTTCCACGTATGTTTCGGATGATAACGTTAGGTTTATACTGATCATACAAATCCGGCATTCTGTTTAGGGTTTGGTGAGTATAGGATTGAGCACAAACGTTGTGAACCAAAGCCTTCTCACTAGTTTATACAACGAAGCATAGGGGGTAAAAATTTGTCCACTTACTGCGCATGTGTGTATTCGTCGCGAATAGTGGAATAGTCTGCATCTTCAACTTCACGGTAACCTCTCTGGAGCCTTTCTGACCAGTGCGATTGTGAGCCAAATCCTTCGGTCCAAGATTGTGGTTCAATGTGTTGTGTTTCTTGATCATCGGAAATCGTTTGACAACTGGCAGCTTTTGCCGTCTTGTGGTTGAGTTGCTCGGCCAAGAAGGACGCGTGGTCTGACAGAATTGGGACTGTCAGATCTGGGGGGCTATGTATGCCCAGCACATTTTCCCGAGCGTGAGTGGCATTGATACCGACAAGGATTACATTAAACAACTCCGTATCAGCCCAACAAAGTTCGGATGATGAGCGGATTTGCCTCAAACGAATGGGTTCAGTTTGGACTTGACGGCAGCGTGACATTATACGGCTCTCTTTCCATCTTCCAAAAGAAGCTAATTTCATAGAATCCGAATCAGTTTGTATATCTGCGTCGCACATTACAAGTTCAGCTTCGGTTGGGATTTCTTCCGTTACTTCACTTAAGAACCGCTTTTTTCGTTTTTTGGTGACTTCTAAGTAGTGCTCCTCTATGCTCCTGTCCTCAAAGTAAGCGGAGAAATCCTTCCAATTGTCAGGAGAAGAGTCCCCATTGCACTGAATTCCAACCTCCAGAAGCTCATCTCTCAAAAGCTTTTGATGATAAATTTCCGCAGATCCAAAAATTCCACCCAACTGGTCCATCGCAGGTTCTGTTTGGACAGGCACAGAATCAACTGGTGGTGAAAAGGAAACCTGCTCATCACGAATCTGGCCCAGACGATTTCGCAGAAGGTAAGTGTCATAGGCATTCAAATCATAAGTGGGTGTGCCTAGACGTCGCACTGATGAGACAGGTAGACTTTCCGAATCCCGCACAGTTGTCACTACCTGCACACCGATATCAGCAACAGTCTTAGAAGTATCCTGAGCCATGCAACCGATTTCACGCAAGTAGCCCTGCGTTCGCCGAGACATGTACAAGGGATAATTAGAAGAACTAGAAGTTTCAGACTGACAGAGTTCGGTGGTTTCAAACTCGCACAAAAACGAGTAGGATTCAAACTGGTCGGTTTGAGTATAACATTCGGGCATGATAAGGCGGGAAGGCAAATCAGGGGATGAACGGTAATCGCCTGAAAACAGGCATGCCGCTTCCGAAACTATGCCGTGAGCAAGTAAGTGTTGATAGACTTCATAATTCAAGCAATCAAAATATTCACTTCGAATACAAAAAAGATTTCGGACACGATCAGAGAAGGACAGAGAACGGAAAACACATTCAGGAGAAAACTGACAAGAGAAATCAGAGGCAGCAGTGGAAGAAACAGTGGATGGCACAAAGAAGTGTTCAACATGGCGTTCGTGGAAATCGTGCAAAATATGGTCCTCATAAAACAAAAAAGAAAAATCACGAACATCAGAGGCATCCGAAGAAACAAAAGCCGGGCCATAAAATTGAGAACCAAAGTCAGAAGAAGAGCAGCAAGCAAGGACACCAACATCGTAAGAGTCAGGAACAAAAGAATATTGAGAACCGAAATGTTTCCTAACAACCAGAAACGAAGTATCGCACGAAAAATCAGCAAATGTGGATATATCGAGAGAAGAAGAAAGCTTAAGAGACAAATCAAAGAAACTAGAAGAACCCGTAACACACCTAGAAGAAAAAACAGGGAAAACTGAAAGAAAAGAGGATGCACGATCAACCAACGGACAAAAACCTTCAGCCATCAAAGAACCAGAAAAAGGTTCCCAAAACAAATGTTGTCCACAGGTGGAACAGTGACCAGGTCGCGCATCCGTCGGCTCCACAACCGACACCGACCGCATGTCGCGAACACCGAACTGCGCATTCGTCGTAGATGCCTCGATGAGAGGCGGACCAGACCACAACCGCTTGTCCGCATGCATCACATAGGACTTCTCATCCGACACTTCAACTCGACCCAGCGCGTAACTCGTACACACGTCCAACATGCGCACACGTTCCGCATCAGACACACCAGTATCGGACACAATCGGCGTCTGTGACACACCACTTCGCATCTCCATCAACACGTGCTGGGCTGCCTCCACAAGCGGCGACGTCAACAAACTGGCTTGCACGCAAGCACCTTTCAAGCTCAACGCCGGCTTCGTCAATTGCGTCACGTCCACACGATCCGAAACCCACACACGCGTCGACTCCACCTCCGCCTCCGCAGTCTGCGTCCATGTGCTCTCCGATCCGTACACGCCCACCAATGTGCTCACCGACACCGACGACCGGTCCACCAGCGCACTCACACCCTCCGGTTGCAACACCGCATCCGTCTGCACACCACACACTCGCGTCGGCATCGCAGGTGGCCGAACTGACAATTGCGAATCCACCCAGTCCGACAAACTGACCGAACACCATGCGTCGATCAGTGCACCACTCACTGCCAATCCCGGCTTCCGATCCTCCTCCAACAACGGAATACGTCGCATCGTCGGCTCCAACTCCTCTCCAGGCTCTTCCAATCCCTCCGCTCTCACGCCAACCATGTGGCCCTCATCCGTCACATAATATGACAACACCGGTCTCGTCTGCATTGTCCCGTCAGCACGCCCGATGCTCACCACACCAGTTACACGCTCCAACCCTTCCACACCCGCATAGTCCGCGCCAACACTCGCCTCCATGTACTCCGGTTTGCGGCGATCCACATCCGTCGCCATCTCACCACGCTCCGTCTCCATCCACAATCGTTGTCCACAGGTGGAACAGTGACCAGGTCGCGCATCCGTCGGCTCCACAACCGACACCGACCGCATGTCGCGAACACCGAACTGCGCATTCGTCGTAGATGCCTCGATGAGAGGCGGACCAGACCACAACCGCTTGTCCGCATGCATCACATAGGACTTCTCATCCGACACTTCAACTCGACCCAGCGCGTAACTCGTACACACGTCCAACATGCGCACACGTTCCGCATCAGACACACCAGTATCGGACACAATCGGCGTCTGTGACACACCACTTCGCATCTCCATCAACACGTGCTGGGCTGCCTCCACAAGCGGCGACGTCAACAAACTGGCTTGCACGCAAGCACCTTTCAAGCTCAACGCCGGCTTCGTCAATTGCGTCACGTCCACACGATCCGAAACCCACACACGCGTCGACTCCACCTCCGCCTCCGCAGTCTGCGTCCATGTGCTCTCCGAGCCGTACACGCCCACCAATGTGCTCACCGACACCGACGACCGGTCCACCAGCGCACTCACACCCTCCGGTTGCAACACCGCATCCGTCTGCACACCACACACTCGCGTCGGCATCGCAGGTGGCCGAACTGACAATTGCGAATCCACCCAGTCCGACAAACTGACCGAACACCATGCGTCGATCATTGCACCACTCACTGCCAACCCCGGCTTCCGATCCTCCTCCAACAACGGAATACGTCGCATCGTCGGCTCCAACTCCTCTCCAGGCTCTTCCAATCCCTCCGCTCTCACGCCAACCATGTGGCCCTCATCCGTCACATAATATGACAACACCGGTCTCGTCTGCATTGTCCCGTCAGCACGCCCGATGCTCACCACACCAGTTACACGCTCCAACCCTTCCACACCCGCATAGTCCGCGCCAACACTCGCCTCCATGTACTCCGGTTTGCGGCGATCCACATCCGTCGCCATCTCACCACGCTCCGTCTCCATCCACAATCGTTGTCCACAGGTGGAACAGTGACCAGGTCGCGCATCCGTCGGCTCCACAACCGACACCGACCGCATGTCGCGAACACCGAACTGCGCATTCGTCGTAGATGCCTCGATGAGAGGCGGACCAGACCACAACCGCTTGTCCGCATGCATCACATAGGACTTCTCATCCGACACTTCAACTCGACCCAGCGCGTAACTCGTACACACGTCCAACATGCGCACACGTTCCGCATCAGACACACCAGTATCGGACACAATCGGCGTCTGTGACACACCACTTCGCATCTCCATCAACACGTGCTGGGCTGCCTCCACAAGCGGCGACGTCAACAAACTGGCTTGCACGCAAGCACCTTTCAAGCTCAACGCCGGCTTCGTCAATTGCGTCACGTCCACACGATCCGAAACCCACACACGCGTCGACTCCACCTCCGCCTCCGCAGTCTGCGTCCATGTGCTCTCCGAGCCGTACACGCCCACCAATGTGCTCACCGACACCGACGACCGGTCCACCAGCGCACTCACACCCTCCGGTTGCAACACCGCATCCGTCTGCACACCACACACTCGCGTCGGCATCGCAGGTGGCCGAACTGACAATTGCGAATCCACCCAGTCCGACAAACTGACCGAACACCATGCGTCGATCATTGCACCACTCACTGCCAACCCCGGCTTCCGATCCTCCTCCAACAACGGAATACGTCGCATCGTCGGCTCCAACTCCTCTCCAGGCTCTTCCAATCCCTCCGCTCTCACGCCAACCATGTGGCCCTCATCCGTCACATAATATGACAACACCGGTCTCGTCTGCATTGTCCCGTCAGCACGCCCGATGCTCACCACACCAGTTACACGCTCCAACCCTTCCACACCCGCATAGTCCGCGCCAACACTCGCCTCCATGTACTCCGGTTTGCGGCGATCCACATCCGTCGCCATCTCACCACGCTCCGTCTCCATCCACAATCGTTGTCCACAGGTGGAACAGTGACCAGGTCGCGCATCCGTCGGCTCCACAACCGACACCGACCGCATGTCGCGAACACCGAACTGCGCATTCGTCGTAGATGCCTCGATGAGAGGCGGACCAGACCACAACCGCTTGTCCGCATGCATCACATAGGACTTCTCATCCGACACTTCAACTCGACCCAGCGCGTAACTCGTACACACGTCCAACATGCGCACACGTTCCGCATCAGACACACCAGTATCGGACACAATCGGCGTCTGTGACACACCACTTCGCATCTCCATCAACACGTGCTGGGCTGCCTCCACAAGCGGCGACGTCAACAAACTGGCTTGCACGCAAGCACCTTTCAAGCTCAACGCCGGCTTCGTCAATTGCGTCACGTCCACACGATCCGAAACCCACACACGCGTCGACTGCACCTCCGCCTCCGCAGTCTGCGTCCATGTGCTCTCCGAGCCGTACACGCCCACCAATGTGCTCACCGACACCGACGACCGGTCCACCAGCGCACTCACACCCTCCGGTTGCAACACCGCATCCGTCTGCACACCACACACTCGCGTCGGCATCGCAGGTGGCCGAACTGACAATTGCGAATCCACCCAGTCCGACAAACTGACCGAACACCATGCGTCGATCATTGCACCACTCACTGCCAACCCCGGCTTCCGATCCTCCTCCAACAACGGAATACGTCGCATCGTCGGCTCCAACTCCTCTCCAGGCTCTTCCAATCCCTCCGCTCTCACGCCAACCATGTGGCCCTCATCCGTCACATAATATGACAACACCGGTCTCGTCTGCATTGTCCCGTCAGCACGCCCGATGCTCACCACACCAGTTACACGCTCCAACCCTTCCACACCCGCATAGTCCGCGCCAACACTCGCCTCCATGTACTCCGGTTTGCGGCGATCCACATCCGTCGCCATCTCACCACGCTCCGTCTCCATCCACAATCGTTGTCCACAGGTGGAACAGTGACCAGGTCGCGCATCCGTCGGCTCCACAACCGACACCGACCGCATGTCGCGAACACCGAACTGCGCATTCGTCGTAGATGCCTCGATGAGAGGCGGACCAGACCACAACCGCTTGTCCGCATGCATCACATAGGACTTCTCATCCGACACTTCAACTCGACCCAGCGCGTAACTCGTACACACGTCCAACATGCGCACACGTTCCGCATCAGACACACCAGTATCGGACACAATCGGCGTCTGTGACACACCACTTCGCATCTCCATCAACACGTGCTGGGCTGCCTCCACAAGCGGCGACGTCAACAAACTGGCTTGCACGCAAGCACCTTTCAAGCTCAACGCCGGCTTCGTCAATTGCGTCACGTCCACACGATCCGAAACCCACACACGCGTCGACTCCACCTCCGCCTCCGCAGTCTGCGTCCATGTGCTCTCCGAGCCGTACACGCCCACCAATGTGCTCACCGACACCGACGACCGGTCCACCAGCGCACTCACACCCTCCGGTTGCAACACCGCATCCGTCTGCACACCACACACTCGCGTCGGCATCGCAGGTGGCCGAACTGACAATTGCGAATCCACCCAGTCCGACAAACTGACCGAACACCATGCGTCGATCATTGCACCACTCACTGCCAACCCCGGCTTCCGATCCTCCTCCAACAACGGAATACGTCGCATCGTCGGCTCCAACTCCTCTCCAGGCTCTTCCAATCCCTCCGCTCTCACGCCAACCATGTGGCCCTCATCCGTCACATAATATGACAACACCGGTCTCGTCTGCATTGTCCCGTCAGCACGCCCGATGCTCACCACACCAGTTACACGCTCCAACCCTTCCACACCCGCATAGTCCGCGCCAACACTCGCCTCCATGTACTCCGGTTTGCGGCGATCCACATCCGTCGCCATCTCACCACGCTCCGTCTCCATCCACAATCGTTGTCCACAGGTGGAACAGTGACCAGGTCGCGCATCCGTCGGCTCCACAACCGACACCGACCGCATGTCGCGAACACCGAACTGCGCATTCGTCGTAGATGCCTCGATGAGAGGCGGACCAGACCACAACCGCTTGTCCGCATGCATCACATAGGACTTCTCATCCGACACTTCAACTCGACCCAGCGCGTAACTCGTACACACGTCCAACATGCGCACACGTTCCGCATCAGACACACCAGTATCGGACACAATCGGCGTCTGTGACACACCACTTCGCATCTCCATCAACACGTGCTGGGCTGCCTCCACAAGCGGCGACGTCAACAAACTGGCTTGCACGCAAGCACCTTTCAAGCTCAACGCCGGCTTCGTCAATTGCGTCACGTCCACACGATCCGAAACCCACACACGCGTCGACTCCACCTCCGCCTCCGCAGTCTGCGTCCATGTGCTCTCCGAGCCGTACACGCCCACCAATGTGCTCACCGACACCGACGACCGGTCCACCAGCGCACTCACACCCTCCGGTTGCAACACCGCATCCGTCTGCACACCACACACTCGCGTCGGCATCGCAGGTGGCCGAACTGACAATTGCGAATCCACCCAGTCCGACAAACTGACCGAACACCATGCGTCGATCATTGCACCACTCACTGCCAACCCCGGCTTCCGATCCTCCTCCAACAACGGAATACGTCGCATCGTCGGCTCCAACTCCTCTCCAGGCTCTTCCAATCCCTCCGCTCTCACGCCAACCATGTGGCCCTCATCCGTCACATAATATGACAACACCGGTCTCGTCTGCATTGTCCCGTCAGCACGCCCGATGCTCACCACACCAGTTACACGCTCCAACCCTTCCACACCCGCATAGTCCGCGCCAACACTCGCCTCCATGTACTCCGGTTTGCGGCGATCCACATCCGTCGCCATCTCACCACGCTCCGTCTCCATCCACAATCGTTGTCCACAGGTGGAACAGTGACCAGGTCGCGCATCCGTCGGCTCCACAACCGACACCGACCGCATGTCGCGAACACCGAACTGCGCATTCGTCGTAGATGCCTCGATGAGAGGCGGACCAGACCACAACCGCTTGTCCGCATGCATCACATAGGACTTCTCATCCGACACTTCAACTCGACCCAGCGCGTAACTCGTACACACGTCCAACATGCGCACACGTTCCGCATCAGACACACCAGTATCGGACACAATCGGCGTCTGTGACACACCACTTCGCATCTCCATCAACACGTGCTGGGCTGCCTCCACAAGCGGCGACGTCAACAAACTGGCTTGCACGCAAGCACCTTTCAAGCTCAACGCCGGCTTCGTCAATTGCGTCACGTCCACACGATCCGAAACCCACACACGCGTCGACTCCACCTCCGCCTCCGCAGTCTGCGTCCATGTGCTCTCCGAGCCGTACACGCCCACCAATGTGCTCACCGACACCGACGACCGGTCCACCAGCGCACTCACACCCTCCGGTTGCAACACCGCATCCGTCTGCACACCACACACTCGCGTCGGCATCGCAGGTGGCCGAACTGACAATTGCGAATCCACCCAGTCCGACAAACTGACCGAACACCATGCGTCGATCAGTGCACCACTCACTGCCAACCCCGGCTTCCGATCCTCCTCCAACAACGGAATACGTCGCATCGTCGGCTCCAACTCCTCTCCAGGCTCTTCCAATCCCTCCGCTCTCACGCCAACCATGTGGCCCTCATCCGTCACATAATATGACAACACCGGTCTCGTCTGCATTGTCCCGTCAGCACGCCCGATGCTCACCACACCAGTTACACGCTCCAACCCTTCCACACCCGCATAGTCCGCGCCAACACTCGCCTCCATGTACTCCGGTTTGCGGCGATCCACATCCGTCGCCATCTCACCACGCTCCGTCTCCATCCACAATCGTTGTCCACAGGTGGAACAGTGACCAGGTCGCGCATCCGTCGGCTCCACAACCGACACCGACCGCATGTCGCGAACACCGAACTGCGCATTCGTCGTAGATGCCTCGATGAGAGGCGGACCAGACCACAACCGCTTGTCCGCATGCATCACATAGGACTTCTCATCCGACACTTCAACTCGACCCAGCGCGTAACTCGTACACACGTCCAACATGCGCACACGTTCCGCATCAGACACACCAGTATCGGACACAATCGGCGTCTGTGACACACCACTTCGCATCTCCATCAACACGTGCTGGGCTGCCTCCACAAGCGGCGACGTCAACAAACTGGCTTGCACGCAAGCACCTTTCAAGCTCAACGCCGGCTTCGTCAATTGCGTCACGTCCACACGATCCGAAACCCACACACGCGTCGACTCCACCTCCGCCTCCGCAGTCTGCGTCCATGTGCTCTCCGAGCCGTACACGCCCACCAATGTGCTCACCGACACCGACGACCGGTCCACCAGCGCACTCACACCCTCCGGTTGCAACACCGCATCCGTCTGCACACCACACACTCGCGTCGGCATCGCAGGTGGCCGAACTGACAATTGCGAATCCACCCAGTCCGACAAACTGACCGAACACCATGCGTCGATCATTGCACCACTCACTGCCAATCCCGGCTTCCGATCCTCCTCCAACAACGGAATACGTCGCATCGTCGGCTCCAACTCCTCTCCAGGCTCTTCCAATCCCTCCGCTCTCACGCCAACCATGTGGCCCTCATCCGTCACATAATATGACAACACCGGTCTCGTCTGCATTGTCCCGTCAGCACGCCCGATGCTCACCACACCAGTTACACGCTCCAACCCTTCCACACCCGCATAGTCCGCGCCAACACTCGCCTCCATGTACTCCGGTTTGCGGCGATCCACATCCGTCGCCATCTCACCACGCTCCGTCTCCATCCACAATCGTTGTCCACAGGTGGAACAGTGACCAGGTCGCGCATCCGTCGGCTCCACAACCGACACCGACCGCATGTCGCGAACACCGAACTGCGCATTCGTCGTAGATGCCTCGATGAGAGGCGGACCAGACCACAACCGCTTGTCCGCATGCATCACATAGGACTTCTCATCCGACACTTCAACTCGACCCAGCGCGTAACTCGTACACACGTCCAACATGCGCACACGTTCCGCATCAGACACACCAGTATCGGACACAATCGGCGTCTGTGACACACCACTTCGCATCTCCATCAACACGTGCTGGGCTGCCTCCACAAGCGGCGACGTCAACAAACTGGCTTGCACGCAAGCACCTTTCAAGCTCAACGCCGGCTTCGTCAATTGCGTCACGTCCACACGATCCGAAACCCACACACGCGTCGACTCCACCTCCGCCTCCGCAGTCTGCGTCCATGTGCTCTCCGAGCCGTACACGCCCACCAATGTGCTCACCGACACCGACGACCGGTCCACCAGCGCACTCACACCCTCCGGTTGCAACACCGCATCCGTCTGCACACCACACACTCGCGTCGGCATCGCAGGTGGCCGAACTGACAATTGCGAATCCACCCAGTCCGACAAACTGACCGAACACCATGCGTCGATCATTGCACCACTCACTGCCAACCCCGGCTTCCGATCCTCCTCCAACAACGGAATACGTCGCATCGTCGGCTCCAACTCCTCTCCAGGCTCTTCCAATCCCTCCGCTCTCACGCCAACCATGTGGCCCTCATCCGTCACATAATATGACAACACCGGTCTCGTCTGCATTGTCCCGTCAGCACGCCCGATGCTCACCACACCAGTTACACGCTCCAACCCTTCCACACCCGCATAGTCCGCGCCAACACTCGCCTCCATGTACTCCGGTTTGCGGCGATCCACATCCGTCGCCATCTCACCACGCTCCGTCTCCATCCACAATCGTTGTCCACAGGTGGAACAGTGACCAGGTCGCGCATCCGTCGGCTCCACAACCGACACCGACCGCATGTCGCGAACACCGAACTGCGCATTCGTCGTAGATGCCTCGATGAGAGGCGGACCAGACCACAACCGCTTGTCCGCATGCATCACATAGGACTTCTCATCCGACACTTCAACTCGACCCAGCGCGTAACTCGTACACACGTCCAACATGCGCACACGTTCCGCATCAGACACACCAGTATCGGACACAATCGGCGTCTGTGACACACCACTTCGCATCTCCATCAACACGTGCTGGGCTGCCTCCACAAGCGGCGACGTCAACAAACTGGCTTGCACGCAAGCACCTTTCAAGCTCAACGCCGGCTTCGTCAATTGCGTCACGTCCACACGATCCGAAACCCACACACGCGTCGACTCCACCTCCGCCTCCGCAGTCTGCGTCCATGTGCTCTCCGAGCCGTACACGCCCACCAATGTGCTCACCGACACCGACGACCGGTCCACCAGCGCACTCACACCCTCCGGTTGCAACACCGCATCCGTCTGCACACCACACACTCGCGTCGGCATCGCAGGTGGCCGAACTGACAATTGCGAATCCACCCAGTCCGACAAACTGACCGAACACCATGCGTCGATCATTGCACCACTCACTGCCAACCCCGGCTTCCGATCCTCCTCCAACAACGGAATACGTCGCATCGTCGGCTCCAACTCCTCTCCAGGCTCTTCCAATCCCTCCGCTCTCACGCCAACCATGTGGCCCTCATCCGTCACATAATATGACAACACCGGTCTCGTCTGCATTGTCCCGTCAGCACGCCCGATGCTCACCACACCAGTTACACGCTCCAACCCTTCCACACCCGCATAGTCCGCGCCAACACTCGCCTCCATGTACTCCGGTTTGCGGCGATCCACATCCGTCGCCATCTCACCACGCTCCGTCTCCATCCACAATCGTTGTCCACAGGTGGAACAGTGACCAGGTCGCGCATCCGTCGGCTCCACAACCGACACCGACCGCATGTCGCGAACACCGAACTGCGCATTCGTCGTAGATGCCTCGATGAGAGGCGGACCAGACCACAACCGCTTGTCCGCATGCATCACATAGGACTTCTCATCCGACACTTCAACTCGACCCAGCGCGTAACTCGTACACACGTCCAACATGCGCACACGTTCCGCATCAGACACACCAGTATCGGACACAATCGGCGTCTGTGACATACCACTTCGCATCTCCATCAACACGTGCTGGGCTGCCTCCACAAGCGGCGACGTCAACAAACTGGCTTGCACGCAAGCACCTTTCAAGCTCAACGCCGGCTTCGTCAATTGCGTCACGTCCACACGATCCGAAACCCACACACGCGTCGACTCCACCTCCGCCTCCGCAGTCTGCGTCCATGTGCTCTCCGATCCGTACACGCCCACCAATGTGCTCACCGACACCGACGACCGGTCCACCAGCGCACTCACACCCTCCGGTTGCAACACCGCATCCGTCTGCACACCACACACTCGCGTCGGCATCGCAGGTGGCCGAACTGACAATTGCGAATCCACCCAGTCCGACAAACTGACCGAACACCATGCGTCGATCATTGCACCACTCACTGCCAATCCCGGCTTCCGATCCTCCTCCAACAACGGAATACGTCGCATCGTCGGCTCCAACTCCTCTCCAGGCTCTTCCAATCCCTCCGCTCTCACGCCAACCATGTGGCCCTCATCCGTCACATAATATGACAACACCGGTCTCGTCTGCATTGTCCCGTCAGCACGCCCGATGCTCACCACACCAGTTACACGCTCCAACCCTTCCACACCCGCATAGTCCGCGCCAACACTCGCCTCCATGTACTCCGGTTTGCGGCGATCCACATCCGTCGCCATCTCACCACGCTCCGTCTCCATCCACAATCGTTGTCCACAGGTGGAACAGTGACCAGGTCGCGCATCCGTCGGCTCCACAACCGACACCGACCGCATGTCGCGAACACCGAACTGCGCATTCGTCGTAGATGCCTCGATGAGAGGCGGACCAGACCACAACCGCTTGTCCGCATGCATCACATAGGACTTCTCATCCGACACTTCAACTCGACCCAGCGCGTAACTCGTACACACGTCCAACATGCGCACACGTTCCGCATCAGACACACCAGTATCGGACACAATCGGCGTCTGTGACATACCACTTCGCATCTCCATCAACACGTGCTGGGCTGCCTCCACAAGCGGCGACGTCAACAAACTGGCTTGCACGCAAGCACCTTTCAAGCTCAACGCCGGCTTCGTCAATTGCGTCACGTCCACACGATCCGAAACCCACACACGCGTCGACTCCACCTCCGCCTCCGCAGTCTGCGTCCATGTGCTCTCCGATCCGTACACACCCACCAATGTGCTCACCGACACCGACGACCGGTCCACCAGCGCACTCACACCCTCCGGTTGCAACACCGCATCCGTCTGCACACCACACACTCGCGTCGGCATCGCAGGTGACCGAACTGACAATTGCGAATCCACCCAGTCCGACAAACTGACCGAACACCATGCGTCGATCATTGCACCACTCACTGCCAATCCCGGCTTCCGATCCTCCTCCAACAACGGAATACGTCGCATCGTCGGCTCCAACTCCTCTCCAGGCTCTTCCAATCCCTCCGCTCTCACGCCAACCATGTGGCCCTCATCCGTCACATAATATGACAACACCGGTCTCGTCTGCATTGTCCCGTCAGCACGCCCGATGCTCACCACACCAGTTACACGCTCCAACCCTTCCACACCCGCATAGTCCGCGCCAACACTCGCCTCCATGTACTCCGGTTTGCGGCGATCCACATCCGTCGCCATCTCACCACGCTCCGTCTCCATCCACAATCGTTGTCCACAGGTGGAACAGTGACCAGGTCGCGCATCCGTCGGCTCCACAACCGACACCGACCGCATGTCGCGAACACCGAACTGCGCATTCGTCGTAGATGCCTCGATGAGAGGCGGACCAGACCACAACCGCTTGTCCGCATGCATCACATAGGACTTCTCATCCGACACTTCAACTCGACCCAGCGCGTAACTCGTACACACGTCCAACATGCGCACACGTTCCGCATCAGACACACCAGTATCGGACACAATCGGCGTCTGTGACATACCACTTCGCATCTCCATCAACACGTGCTGGGCTGCCTCCACAAGCGGCGACGTCAACAAACTGGCTTGCACGCAAGCACCTTTCAAGCTCAACGCCGGCTTCGTCAATTGCGTCACGTCCACACGATCCGAAACCCACACACGCGTCGACTCCACCTCCGCCTCCGCAGTCTGCGTCCATGTGCTCTCCGATCCGTACACACCCACCAATGTGCTCACCGACACCGACGACCGGTCCACCAGCGCACTCACACCCTCCGGTTGCAACACCGCATCCGTCTGCACACCACACACTCGCGTCGGCATCGCAGGTGGCCGAACTGACAATTGCGAATCCACCCAGTCCGACAAACTGACCGAACACCATGCGTCGATCATTGCACCACTCACTGCCAATCCCGGCTTCCGATCCTCCTCCAACAACGGAATACGTCGCATCGTCGGCTCCAACTCCTCTCCAGGCTCTTCCAATCCCTCCGCTCTCACGCCAACCATGTGGCCCTCATCCGTCACATAATATGACAACACCGGTCTCGTCTGCATTGTCCCGTCAGCACGCCCGATGCTCACCACACCAGTTACACGCTCCAACCCTTCCACACCCGCATAGTCCGCGCCAACACTCGCCTCCATGTACTCCGGTTTGCGGCGATCCACATCCGTCGCCATCTCACCACGCTCCGTCTCCATCCACAATCGTTGTCCACAGGTGGAACAGTGACCAGGTCGCGCATCCGTCGGCTCCACAACCGACACCGACCGCATGTCGCGAACACCGAACTGCGCATTCGTCGTAGATGCCTCGATGAGAGGCGGACCAGACCACAACCGCTTGTCCGCATGCATCACATAGGACTTCTCATCCGACACTTCAACTCGACCCAGCGCGTAACTCGTACACACGTCCAACATGCGCACACGTTCCGCATCAGACACACCAGTATCGGACACAATCGGCGTCTGTGACACACCACTTCGCATCTCCATCAACACGTGCTGGGCTGCCTCCACAAGCGGCGACGTCAACAAACTGGCTTGCACGCAAGCACCTTTCAAGCTCAACGCCGGCTTCGTCAATTGCGTCACGTCCACACGATCCGAAACCCACACACGCGTCGACTCCACCTCCGCCTCCGCAGTCTGCGTCCATGTGCTCTCCGATCCGTACACACCCACCAATGTGCTCACCGACACCGACGACCGGTCCACCAGCGCACTCACACCCTCCGGTTGCAACACCGCATCCGTCTGCACACCACACACTCGCGTCGGCATCGCAGGTGGCCGAACTGACAATTGCGAATCCACCCAGTCCGACAAACTGACCGAACACCATGCGTCGATCATTGCACCACTCACTGCCAACCCCGGCTTCCGATCCTCCTCCAACAACGGAATACGTCGCATCGTCGGCTCCAACTCCTCTCCAGGCTCTTCCAATCCCTCCGCTCTCACGCCAACCATGCTTATTTCCTTTGTCACCTTTATTTGCTTTTCTCCTTGGATTTGCTTTCTTTCTTCCTCGCTTTTTTCCGTCGTTCTTTTTTCTTCGTCTTTTCTCTCTTTATCGTCTTTTTCCTTTGTCAAATCCAGTATTCTTTGCTCTGTTCTACTTTTCTTTTCTTTTGGTTCGCTTGATACTTGCACCGCTTCAATCTTTGTGTATGCTTGCGTTTGTGTTGCCATGTCTAGTGTGGGCTTTTCTATTTGTGTACTTGTTTGATTGTCTTTTGTGTCTGCCTTCTTTTTTGGGGTTCTTTCTTCTTGCGCTGTCCATTTTGTAACTTTTTGTTCTTCTGGTTTCCTTGCTCCTTCTTTTTCTGCTTGCTTTTCCTCTTTTGCTTTTGTCTCACGCGTTTTGTACATTGCTACTTTGTCTACGTAGTTTTTTAATTTTCTGTGTACTTCATTCCGTGTTGCTGAAAATTTCCTTTCTTCACTTTTAGTCAGACGCCAATGATCGTGGCCCGCTTCAGTATCGTGCGTGATATCCCAGCTTGCTGATCTCCTTCTTCGAACATCTGCGGTCTTCTCTCTACTTTCCTGATGCAAGTTTTGTTTCTGTTTACTTCGCCACCAAACTCTGGTACAAGGAATGCTTCTTGTATCCTGTACCATTGTCTCTTGTAAGCTGATTTGCACATCTGTTGCCCTGTCTACGTACAATGGCTTTGCTTGTGCTGAGACCTCGTTTGTTTGTCTTTTGACAGACGTAAGTGTTTTGATTTCCTTTTTTCTTATGACAGTTTTGTCCTCCTCCTCGACCTCAGTTAGCTCCTTCATTTTCAACGTTTTCGGCGCAGCTACTCTTTGTTCGGTTTGAGTTTCCTTGCTACGGTGATTTCCACCAATTTGTTCTGTAACTGTATCCCTCTGTTCATCCCTTGTAACCTCAATGTACACAACAGAATAGTTTGCCTGAGCTGCCGGTGCTTCCAGATGTCGCCGACTTCTGTAACACCTGTGACGGTTGCGCTGAGTGTCTAGTTCACGTTCGATCATCACATTCATGTCAAGGTTTGTGGTGCTCACGAATCTGGTTGGCCGCTTTGAAGGTATGACACCTCCGGCTTGCATTTCACTCACTTCTTCGCCGGCAATCTCTTTCAAATTTTTATCTAGTTCCACAAAAGGAAGCGGCTCCTCTTCACTTAAGTCATTTTCGGTTTCTGAAGTGCTGTAGCCATCGCTGTAAATCGAATTGGTAAGCGTCTGCTCATCATGCGTGAAAATAGCCGGCAGAAAATTTCCTCCATTCGTGTATAGTTGTTTTGTGTAAAACGCGTATCGATCGCTTCTGAATATCACTTCTGAATATGCTGGGGAACTGGTGATTTCTGTTTCTGTTCCCAAGTCAGAAAAATCTGAATCGGAGACTTCTGAACCAGAGCTGATGAGAAGCTCCCTTGAGTCATCCAATGATGGCGTCAATACCTCAGAGAGCTCTGTTGAAGCAGTTTGATTCCAGAACCGAAGCTGCTGCAAGAGTTCGTCAACCTTCCGCCGGTCCTTCTTGATAGTTTCACTATAAAAAACAAAAGTTGTTCAGTTGAAAAACTGAATGATGCAGATGACCTACCTGAGCAACTCGATTGCCTCAGTTATTCGAAAGGTATCTGTGCTGTATTGCTCCATTGCCTGTCGGACGTCAGCTGGTGAGTGCATTTTTTCCTCATATTCCCTGTTAGCCTTCATGTTGATCTATAGAATGCACCAAGAATTTATTCAACCAACGGCACTAACATGTTTGTGTAATGGTTCTTGGAGGTGAACTTCAACATAAAATATAATTGCAAACATGTAAATCCTCAATTAAGCACAGCAGTTAGTTTATTCTCTCAGCCATTAGATCGTGTGGGTGTATCGAAGTGTCCATCCCAACTTCGTACGTACAACATTCTACTGGTCGGGAGATATACCCAATGATTTAATAATTTTATCCATGTGCGTGATGTGTGAACAATCCTCTTGGTGAGGAGCTCAACATATGCGCGGCTTAGGAAGTTGAACTAAGACACAGCATCTTTCAACGCAAGTATATAAATGATCTTCGTCTTCAGGTAGTTTGATACTGGCAGATTCAAGAGTTGAATATGGTGTCATTCACTGCAGACTCCAGCTGATATTATCAAAGTCAATCATGTGTTCAAGTCAAAATTGGTTCACTGTTCAGACCTGATTAAGGAGATTAGTCGTAGCGGTCTTCAACATCCACAATTAGTGGACGGGCATTAATTCACTTGTTTCGGGATCCCTTCATGGTGTAAGATGGAGAACGTCGGAATACTTCCGCGTATTGAGATTCTTATGGAAATAGCTGTAGTCCAGGTTCTCCGGGAAAGCATGTAGTTTTGAGAGCGCCACCCAACTGCTTAAAATGATGAATCCAACCACATTATCGTTTTCCATGAAATACTATAAAACACAACGTCCAACAGCAAAGATGTGATAATGTTGCCACTGTAAGTTGCGGTTAACGTTTTCGCATATATTTTTGTCTTACAGCTTCCATTTCAACAGCCGTATAAAAGACTTCATCGCTGTATTACCTTGCAGATCCCAAGAAAGGACAATATGAAAAGGGAAAGGGAACTTATTGTAAAGCCTAACTTCCGTAGGCAATCATACGGATGCGAAGGTATCCAAACCCTGCCCAAACCACGCAGTTCTAAGGATGCTAGCGAAAATTCCAATCGAACATTTGTGCGCTCCTCATAGTCTCAAGTCTACGCCGTCAAATGTTGCCGCACATCACTAAGTTAAAGTTATTCGTCTCGAATTTATGAGCACTATATCTTGAAACCATACCATCGAGGATACTACCAATGCGTCCCACATGTATCCAGCATTGCGAATTTCAGGCAGTTTAATCGATATCCAGGAGCACAACATTGCGTTATTTCAATCGTCGAACATCATTTGCGGTCTCACTCGAGGGAGCATTGCAATGGGGCTCAAACAGACTACAGCGTAAGTTGACTTTCCCTGCCACGAACCCCACTAGGTCACTCGGAAAGTCCATTCTGGTGCGATTCAGACTTGGCCATGAAGTTACGTCCGTCAAAACACCATGTGCTCGGCCTCAAGGAAATATTACACTTCCGACCGGCATACCAGACAAAAGCCTAGAAAGGACACCTCACAGGCACACCACAGCGATGACAACCGTGTAAAGCTGACCTTAACCTGCAACGCGAGAACAAGTGCTGATCATTAACGGTGAGTCAGTGTAAAGGGTCATAGCGATCACCCAGAAACCGAGATCCCTGGCGTGCCCCAGGTGGCTCATGTGCCAAAGTTGTCAGTGTTATGACTTTCTGTGCACAAACCGTCAGGCTGAAATCCAGAGAGGCGGAGTTGCACAACAGCGATCCAGATTATCACCGATTCTACGTATAATGCATATCTGTCCCACTGATAAAAAGCTTGCTCTTACTAGCTCAAAAGTGCGACCAACTACTGGCCAAGTTTGGGGACATGGTGATCACGAAAAGTACCACATCCGCGCTAAGAATGGCAGATTGTGCAAACCAGTCCCCCCCCCAGTAAGCAATGCCCCCGGGCATGAGGAGAATGACTGTTAACACACTGTTAGCAAAACAGCATCAGTAAGCCAGAAAATATACCGCTGTTCTAATATCCCTGACAATTTACATTCTATTTATCCAGATCACAATTTAATCGGAGCAATTACGCGCAAATCTTCGTCTAATCTCAAGACTGAGTGCGTAGCAAGAGAGCAAGCCGAGACGAGTGAATGTTGAGTTGTTGCTGCCAATAAGGGCCGATATTTTACAAAAGGGACATCTCCCAATGGACCCGAAACTAAAGAGCAAAGTATAGTTATCAAGGTGCAAATACCACCGGTTTCCTGTGGTGGATCACCGAACACAAGCAACAATACCCGTGCTATGTCGAAAATACTAAGAAACAACAAGTTCTGCTGACTGTATTGTGCTTCAGTGTCTCAGAATCAACGTCAACGTCAATCAGAAGCAGGTAATTAGAAGAAATTAAATAGTGAGACGTCATCAGTAACGTGCGAATGTAACGCCTGTCACGCGGCACCTCAGATCTAAGCAGTACAGGGAGCCATGCCTTATGCGCGTTATTCCTAACTCCATCACGGAAATAGAATTAGTTCTGCTGTCGACAAGTCGACTCAGTAATGAGCCCTGCCCCATCCTTATCCTACCGGATATGCCAATAGTCGAGCGTTACCACGAAAATCTCAGCTTAGAAGACCACCGAAAGGAAACCTTAGCCAGAATCAACCTTGTTCACAGCATTCTGAAACTAAAATATGTGTTGAGCATGAAACAACAACTCACGATAAGGGACAACAGTGCTATATTCGTGAAACACTACTTAAATGGCGTGTTGATGAAGTCCGTGTCACGGCTACACATATCACAGAACTACAAAAGATATGACGCAATAAAATGAAAGTAGTTCTTCAGTCAAAACAAATGTCAGCGCGAATACTGAAAAGCTCGAGTGTGTTTCATTACAGGCTACCATCTGAGCTATGAATGAATGCAGCAAGCGATATGTCTGCCAGAAATGACATATCTCCCAAAGAACCGATAGAAAGTATACAGTAACTGCACGAATAATGTGTCTGATGAGCCCATACAGCCTGATAATGAAGAGAGTGATCAAACTCCGTACACGGTAGATAGCAGTTAAGAATCGGGATTAGTTACGCATCCGATGAATCCGACTCCGGACCGGTTGCCAGTTACCCACCGAAAAAGCGATTATTCACCAGCCACTCACTAGTCAGGGCAACTACTCGGCCGAATTGCACAATCTCTAACCCAATGCTAAAATCCGACCTTTATTGTATATACATTAATGTTCATAGGCTCCTTATTAAACTTACCGAACATTGATTACGTCAGGTCGCGAATACTTGGGACCTCATTTCCATTACTGAAGCCTAATTGCACCAAGAACTTGCTGATGCCGAGATCAAAATACCAGAAATGTCGCTCACTCGGAACGCCCGTCCCAATAGGGGAGGTAGAATTCTTTTGTACAACCAAAGCGACATACAAGTTGCTATAGTCGATGACCCGGATACATGTCAACGACGCACTCTGGTCCCGCCACTGTGTAAGATACAACGATGCATGTGCCGTAGCTCTTGTTTATCGTCCACGAGCATCCACTCCGGAAATGGATCGCTTTTGATCCGTGCGCTGATTAGGATAGCACACCCTAGATACTGTCATATGCTAATCTCAGGGGAATTCAGTGGACACGATTTGGAGATATCGGCATCTTCAAATGAACAGTTCAAAGCAGACATGCATGAACTTATTGCTAATATTCACTTGTACAATCATCTCACATGGCCTACAAGATTTCTGGTGGCAAACAAACCATCCGTACTGGACCTTGTGCTCACAAATGAAATGCTCATAGTCCATCGGATATTGCTGTAGAGTCCAGAATCGTTTCAAAGACCACATAACCAAAACATTAAAGTTTGGTTGCAATTCAGTGTATTCTTCTGAACATAAGGAAGTAAGTAATACAAGCACACGCTACCACGTCCTGCATGAACACGTCAAAGGCACCCAGTTGGGAGTCTTCGAACAAGAGTACTCTTGATAACGTTTAAACATACATGATCAAAAGAGCAGCGGAAACAAAGGAGCTTCGTTCCGCAAAAACAGCATCAGTTATCAGAATCAGGACTCAAAACTGCATGGTAACAACAGGTGCGGCATGGTATACCTACAAGTCTTATCTCCACCCACAGAAATGGAGCAACTTCTTTACCTACCACCCACAGTAGCATACTTGTCCATGATGACAAATCAACTTATCAACAGTGTTCAGCCAAAACGCTACTGGCAAACGTAAACTACAGGATAGGCCTGTCAACAGCCTTCGTAAAGTAAAGCATTGCGTCCTCCCACTTTTCACGACGGGCGGTAGGGTAAAAAGCGCCAATTAAGTAGCCAATGCCTTGCGGCTACAATACGCCTAGGTTCTCGAACTCGCCGCCTGTCCTTGTTACATACTCTCATGTACCTCCAGGGTTTACACATGTTAGTTTTAATCCAGCAACTGTGCTAAGGAAGTTGCACACATTGCACGATCATTGCGCCCGAAAGTACTGAAGGCTGCGGCTGCAAAGTTAGCCGATCCCCGTCACAGTTATTTCAGAGATGTTTCGATGCACAACTAGTCCCCATTATGTGGAAGCATGGCATTATCACCACAATTTTTAAAGGCCGTAGCCCTCCAGACCCTGTAAACTATCGCCCAGTGACTCCACCTTGTGTTCGTGGAGGTGATGAAAGCGGTCGTTGCTGAGGTTATAATGGTCTATCGGTAAAAATGCAACGTCTTGCCATCGGAGCACCATGGCTTGCGTTAACACCGATCATGCACTACCAACCTGCTGGTGGCAAGAGATAATTGGACAGAAATGTCTGACAGTGGGGTCGGAGTCGACATCATCTATCTGGATATTTCAAAAGCATTCTATCGCCTGGATCACCGCAGCCTCCTTCACAGGCTACAGATTTAAGGAATCGGGGATCCTGCTTTTGGTTGGAGTGGTAGCTTTCTCCAACAACGGATACTTCAAGTGCGCAGTAGGGGACCGCTTTCCAGCCCGATTGAGATGGAATGTCGTGTTCTACAGGGTGTGGTACTTGGAACTCGCTTTTTCCATATGTTTA